CGGGGCTGCAGTGCGCTTGCGCCACCGCGCAGCCCCTCGAGAGCCAAGGGCGAGCCTCGCCTCTGTCGGAGGCCCCGCCCCCAGTGCCGCACTAGCCCGTCGCTTTGCTCTCACCTGTACCCGCCCACTTCGGGCGGTCTGGGTCACCGCAGGTGTGTCCTGATGTGGGTGTGGCGTGACTTTACTAGTTCTAACATTGCGGGTGTTTCCGAGCCTGAGATTTACCTCTTCTTTGACACTGGAAAGGTAGCCATTGTCTAAAATACCCTGCGTACTCCATGTTTCTAACTTCCCTTTATGATTTTCCTTCTTCTATCTTCTTAGCTATTTCTCGTGGTAACTCAGACACGGCCTTTAAATGTGCTCCGTTTTCTATTTTTGCTTTGTGTGTGTTGTATATCATGTGTGTGCGCACACGTGCTAATGGTGTCCGTGTGGAAGTCAGAGGACAGCGCCTTCCACATGGGTTCCAGGAATGGAACACACATCCTCAGACTTGCACAGCGAACCCTTTTAACCACTGAGCCATCTCCTTGGCCCTTTTGAAATTTTTATTACTTATTTTTATTTGAGACATGAGTTTATATAGCCCAGACTGACTTTCAACTTGCTGTGTAGCCAAAGATGGCTTTGACGTTCTAATCCTCCTGCCTTCATCTCCCCTGCGCTGGGGTTACAGGCATGTGCCACCATATCCGGTTTGTGCAGTGGTAGAGGTGTAACCCAGCGTTTTGTGCATACTAGAAAAGCGAACTACCAATCTGAGCTACATCCTCAGCTGACTTTTGGGTTCCTTTGTGTTTGTTTCTTTCAGATGAGATATTGTTATGTGTGCCCAGGCTGACCTCAAACTTAACATCTGCATGCCGTTTACAGATTACAGGTGCATGCTTCTCACCCTGCCGGTCTTTGGGTTTTTGTTTTTGTTTTTTTTTGGGAGGGGGCGTTGGTTTGGTTTTTCGAGACAGGGTTTCTCCGTGTAGCTTTGGAGCCTGTCCTGGAACTTGCTCTGTAGCCCAGGCTGGCCTCTAACTCACAAAGATCCATTCTTCTTCTGCCTCCCAAGTGCTGGGATTACAGGAGCACACCACCACAGGCTTGCTATCTTTTTTTTTTCTTTAAGTATTACTGGGGCCTGGAGAGATGGCTCAGCAGTTAAAAGTGCATACTGCTCCTCCAGAGGATCTGAGTTCAATTTCCTGTACCCATGTCGGGTGATTCAAAATCACCTATAACTCCAACTCCAAGGGATCCAGTGTCTCTAGCCTCTGCATTCATGTATACAGACATAAGTGATTTTTTAATGATAAAAATACACCTGAAAATATTTTTACTTACTTATTTTGTATATGTGTATGGCTGCAGGTATCAAGGACTACATGTAGATGTCAGAAGACAACTTAAGGGAGTCAATCGGTTTTCCCCTACTGTCTGGGTCCTGAGACTAGAACTCAGGTCAGCAGACTAGGCACACACACCTTGACCCACTGAGCCATCTCCCCAGCTTATGTCTTCATTTCTGTGAGTTGTACTTAAGTTCCATTTGTAGCTGAATAGAATGGCCCAAAGCTCTTCCAGGACTGCACAGCATCCCAGCTCTGTCCAGACCCTGCCCTGCCCTTCAACACGCCACTGCTGCAGGCCCATGCCCTGTGGATCTCCATTACGCTCACATTTAGCACTTCCTTGCTGAGTCATCGCACAGGGCACTCTTTGATATGGACAAAGGCTCCTTTCTTTCTCCTGCTCCCTCGGAGATACTGTTAAAAACAAACATTCTACATGTTGTGCAAAGAAATACACAAACAGCAAAAGTAGCTCAGAGAGGCAATTCATTTCTGTAAAAAATAAATTAACCAGGGCAGCAAGTAAGCTAAGGCAGGGAGTTCGCTTTGTTTTCATTCCGAAGGGGGTGGTGACTGTCTCTTTTTTCTGCTGCCTGGGGGGTCACCTCATAGTCCTTCCTGATTGGCTAGCTTTTAAATGAACCAGTCCAAAGGAAATGAAGGAAGAAGGTAAGGTGTTGACTGCTCCAGATCATTAAGTTTGGAAACTAGAGGAGGATGGGGGGCTTTCTATAAGGACAAGTTTTACGAGGTGGGGGGAGTAAGGATTTGGTTTCTTTACATAACAGTTTTAAGGGGTGCGGGAGATTCTGGCCCTTGGTGAGCATTAGTTACCTTTGATAGGAAAAAATATATTTTTTTTTCTCATTCACTCACCTGAAGTAAGCTGACCTGGATGAAGCTAGAGCATCTCCTCCCTGCTGTTGAAGAAACATCACCAGCATGGCTGACTGGATTCCTTTTGAGTGCTTTTTGTTTTGTTTTAATATTTTTGAAATGTTTATTATTTTTATTCCATGTGTATGAATGTTTTCCTAAATGAGTACCACACCCATGCAGTGTCTATGGAGGTCAGAAGAGGGCATCAGATCCCCTGAGACTGGAGTTACAGACAGTTGTCAGCTGCCATGTGGGTGCTGGGAATTGAACCTGGGTCCTCTGGAAGAGCTGCTGAGCTGTCTCTCCAACACCTGCCACCCCCACTGACACTTCCCTTGATCACAAATTTAAGGTGAGCACTGCACACTCCCAGGGAATCCTGTGGTTTCTAGGGAGGCTGAGCACTGCACATTCCCAAGGAAGCTCTTTCCCACTTTTGAAACTGGCCGCTTCGTTACTTCTCAGACCCCTTTAGTTAGGTCTTCTATTGGAAACCAAAAGCTTGCTATCACCAAACTATAGGGCTGCCCAAATCCATCCCTGGCCTCCCACTTTTCCTGTGGAAAGTTTGCCGGCTATTCTGCTCATTTTGAAGATTAGGCTAAGACCTGGACTCATTTCTGTTCCTTGCAGTATTAACATGTTCATTTCTTTTCTTTTCTTTCTTTTTTTCTTTCTTTTTTTTCTTTTGGTGCGGGATGTTGAGACAGGTAGCTTTGGAGCCTGTCCTGGAACTACTCTTGAAGAGCAAGTTGCCCTCAGACTCACAGAGATCCGCCTGCCTCTGCCTCCTGAGTGCTGGGATTAAAGGTGCGTGCCGCCACTACCTGACAACATGTCCATTTCTATTGAACTATTTTCAAGAGCATTCAAATACATTCTAGCATTGTTCTTTTTATTTATTTATTTTTTTATTATATGTGCATGGATGTTTGCCTGCGTATATGTCTGTGCACGGTATTTGTGACTGGTGCCTATGGAGGCCAGAAGAGGATGTCAGATCGCCAAGGAATGGAGTTACAAATGGGTGTGAGCCCCTGTGGGTGCTGGGAGTCTAACATGGGTCTTCTGGAAGAATCACCAGTGCTCTTTCACAGCTGTCTAGTCCTCTAACGTTACTCTTTGACTCCACCCACTGCTTCCCACCAGACGCTCATTCCCTTGGTGACTGCGTGTCCTGGAAAAACTGGCCCACACCTCAATATCATCGGTCTTCCTTGTTTACTAATTCTGTGGAAATATTCATGTTCAGGTTACTTCTTGAATATAATGCATTCTTTTGTCATCAGCTTTTCATTTGCCTGGGAGGAATACTCAGCACCTTACTATTGAGTTGCCTTTGTTGATGGGAGTTTTGATGCTTAAATTGCCAAATTAAGTAGGATTAAGAAATGCAGCAGGATCTCCATGACACAGGACAACAACAGGATATCCAAGAGATGCCCAATGAGAGCACATTATTGGTGGTGTGGCAGAAACCAGAGGTCTTGAGCCAGGCCAATGGCTCGTGGTAATGAACACTTGCAAGTAAAGATGAACAGGCTAAAAGGTAAGCCGTGTGTCTCCCCAGGCCACACTACAGCTTCCACAACAAGAGATAAATCTTTTTCGTTGTTTTTGTTTCCTTGTTTTGTTTAATTTTTGGTTTTTCTTTTAAATTTGGTTTTGTTTTTCTTTGAAGGGGGTTCAAGGGCAGAGGGTAGATGTGAGGAGACAGGGAGATAGGTGGAAAAAGAATGCATGATGTGAAAATCTACAAAGAATCAATAAAAGTTAAAAAGAAAGAAAAATGCCCCATTGCTGGACATGGAGGCATGTTCCTGTAATCCCAGCACTTGGAAGGCAGAGAGAGGTGGATTTCACTGAGATCAGCCTGCTCTCCATGCTAAAGTCTAGGCCAGCCAGGACTGCCTAACATGATTCTGCCAGAGAGAGAGAGAGAGAAAGAGAGAGAGAGAAGAAGAAGAAGAAGAAGAAGAAGAAGAAGAAGAAGAAGAGGAGGAGGAGGAGGAGGAGGAGGAGGAGGAGGAGGAGGAGGAGGAGGAGGAGGAGGAGGAGGAGGAGGAGGAGGTGGGGAGGAGGAGGTGGGGAGGAGGAGGAGAAGAAGAAGAGGAGGAGGAGAAAGAAGTACCCCTTAGGACATTAGTGAGGCATATCTTTGGGGATTTCTGTGAGGGTGTTTCCTAAGATGAAGGAGGGAAAACTGGCCCTGAAAATGGATGGTACCAGGCCCTGAGCTGGGCTCTCTGACTTAATAAAAAGGGAGAAAGGAGAACCCTGGATGAGTTCCAGCAAATCCTGTTCCCTGCTTCCTGATCCATGGAAGTGTAAACAAGAAGCCGTAAGTTCCTTCCTAACAACTGCCCTGCCTCTTGCCTTCCCTCTGTACTTTGGAACCTGTGAGTAGAAGTCTTCTCTCCCTCAAATGACTTCTTGACAGCTATTCGGTCACAGTGACAAGAGAACCAATGCAGAAGCACTGAGTGCAGAAGTCCAGGGCTCCCAGGAATCGACCCTGTCTGTTGTCCGCATGTGACTCGACAGGATATTAGAGTTTGAGCTGAGGGGACAAGTCATCACGTCCCACAGTTTAGGAAAGTGCCACACGAGAGGACTTCTAGTGGCAGGGAATTGTGTGAACGACCACCTTTGCATTTTACCATTGAGAGGACTATAAGAAAGGACTCAGACCCTGGAGTGGGGTTTCCTTAGAAGAAGGCATGGATCCACGTCTTCATTAGTGTTTTCGTCACAGTTACAAAACAGTTGATAGGTGATGCGCACCTATAATCCCAGCACTCAGGAGACAGAGGTGGGAGGAATCACAAGATCAAGTCTAGTCTTGGGTATATTGTAAGTTTAAGACCAGCCAGCGATACATAACAAGGCTGCATCTCAAACAAAGAAACAAAACCTGACACAAACCCCCACCAATTACTGAGGATTTATAAATACACAAAAAGCAAAATAATTAAGAGAACAAAATTTTTAAGAAGAGCCAAAGGGGGTAAAGAGACGGGATCATCAGGTAAAAGCACTGGCTGCTCTTTCAGGGAACCTGGGTTTGGTTCCTAGTATCCACATGGTAGCTCACAACCATTCATAACTCCGGTTCCAGAGGGTGTGATGCCCTCTTCAGGCCCCTATAAATACTGTACACACATGGTACAAAAATATACAGGCAGGTAAAACACCCATACATATAAAAATAAACAAATCTAAAAAATTTACTGCCGGGCAGTGGTGGCACATGCCTTTAATCCCAGCACTTGGGAGTCAGAAGCAGGAGGATCTCTGTGAGTTCCAGACCACCGTGGTCTACAAGAGCTAGTTCCAGTACTGGCTCTGAACACTACAGAGAAACACATTCTCAAAAAACCAAAACCAAACAAACAAAACAAAAAGTTCCACACACACATAAAATCCACATACACAAAACACACAAAATCCACACACACAAAAAATACAAACACACAAAATACACAGAAAAAAACCATGACATCCCTTTAGTGTTGGCTAACTACTGGGCACGGGATTGCACGAGAGTGTTGATAAACCAGTAACATTCCACTGGAGAAGACCAATTTCCCCTTGGAAATGTTGGCAGGTATCAAATGCAAATACCTTCTTGGTTAAGAGTGAGATTTTACATGCACTTCCTCTTTTCTGTGCTGGGATTTCACCTCCTCTGAACCTATACAGACTTTGTGCCTTTAACAATCTCTGTGAGTTCAGGGTCTTTATCACTCTGGTTGTGTCTGGTTGTTTCCTTGGTTATCTACCAAGGTTACCTACCACCTCCTCTTTCCCTGAGCCCTGAGGGTAGAGTTTAATGAAAACATCCCACTCAGGACAGAGAACTCCAAAGTCTCTCACTCCCTGCACATTGTTCAGTTGTGAGTCTCTGTGTTAATCACCATCTATACAATAGAAGCGAGTCTGATGCTGTGTTCCTTTAACAGAGTGACAGTCTTTCCACTAGGCCCATGACCTCTCTAGTCTCAGCTTCTGGCTACTTTAGCAGTGTGAGGTATGGGTTCCATTTCATGAAGTTGGCCTGAAGTCCAATCCAAAAGAGTTTGGGTACTCTCATAGCGTTTGTACCACGATTAAACCAGCACATACTGTAGGCCACAGAATTTATAGCGGGGTGATACTGCTGAGTACTTTTCTCTTCCCTTAGCATGCAGAGCACCTTCCAGCACTCGATGCTAACCAATAAGGGTGAAGACTCTGTGTGTCTTTGGGACATTTCAGCTGAGGGTTCAACAAGATGTAGCTCAGTCCTGGAGGTTTTCCCTTTGAGATGTTTAGTTGGAGCATTGTTTCCCCATTATATGGTGATTTGATTTAAATTCCTTTCGTATACGTGCATATCTTAGGAAGCAGCTACAGCAGTAGATTTCCATGTGGTTTTCCAGAAGAACTTTGTGGTAGTTGTCTATCCTCATATTCCCTCCTTTTTTTTTTCTACCCCAAGACAGGGTTTCTCTGTACAACAGTCCTACCTGTCCTGGAACTCGCTCTGTAGACCAGGCTGGCCTCAAACTCAAACTCCACCTACCCCTGCCTCCTGAGTGCTGGCATTAAAGGTATGCCCCACCATGCCTGGCTAAAATAAGTAAGTCTTTTAAGAAAATAATACATTTTGGAGAGGATGTGGAGAAAACAAACACTTACTGTTGGTGGGAAATGTAGTGATATTTTGTTTATAATTTAATAAATAAAGCTTGTCTGAGAGATCAGAGAAGCAGTATAGCCAGCCCCTAGAGAGACCTTTTACCTCTATCAAATCCTCAAACCTCAGACGGCCTCCTCAGACTGTGTCCTCTGACTGCATCCTCAGACTGACTGCTTCAGACTGCATCCTGAGGCTGCATCTGAGCTCCTGTCTCCTCCTGGATATATTCCTCTCCCTGCCCCAGTCATATCACTCCTGTCTTCACCTCTCTAGTGGTGTGATTAAAGGTGTGAGGCACCACCGCCTGACTCTGTTTCTCATAGACTGGATAAATCTAACATAGCCCAGGGTGGCCTTGAACTCACAGAGGTCTGTCCGCCTCTGCTTCCTGAGTGCTGGGATTAAAGGTGTGCGCCATCACTGCTTGGCCTCTATGGCTAACACTAATTAGTGGTTTAGTGCTGCACTCTGATCTTCAGCAGCTGTATTTGTTAGATCACAAACAAAATATCATTACAGTGGGATGTAAACTGATGCAACCACTATGCAAATTAGTCTGGAGGTTTCTCAAAAAAATAAAGCTAAACCAGGTGGTAGTGGCACACACCTTTAATCCCAGCATTCGGGAAGTAGAGACAGGTGAATCTCTGCAAATTTAAAGCCAACCTGGTCTACAGAGCAAGTTCTAGGACATCCACATCCAGGAATATATACAGAGAGGCCCTTTCTCAAAAAGCAAAAAACCAAAAAAACAAAAAGAACAAAAAACACTCTAAAACTAGAACTACCATGTGGCCCAGTCATACCACAACTGGGCATATACTCTATATCCACAACTGGGCATATATCCTATATCCATAACTGGGCATATATCCTATATTCACAACTGGGCATATATCCTATATCCACAACTGGGCATGTACCCTATATCCACAGGACTGTATTTCCTACTGTAGAGCTGCTTGCTCATCCATATTTGTTGCTGCATTATACCCACTAGAAAGAAAATGGATTCTACCTACAATGTCCATTATCTGAAGAATGGATACTGAAAATGAGCTTTATTCAGCCATAAGTAAAAATGAAATTTACAGCCAGATGGTGGTGGTGCACCCCTTTAATCCCAGCACTCGGGAGGTAGAGGTGGGCAGATCTCTGTGAGTTTGAGGCCAGTCTAGTCTACACAGCGAGTTCCAGGACAGTCTCCAAAGCTAAAG